TGAAAGTAAGGTGGTCCTCAACATACACCATGCTTCAACGTGCATTCGAGCTGCGAGATGTAAGTTCAATTTAGGATGTCAATGTTGTTCCCGCTGATGTATATTATTAGGAAGTTGACTATTTTGTGGGCCGGCTTGGTTTGCAAGAGAAGGACTCAGCTAAACGGAAAAAGATTACGGACCTTGAGCTATCATCTGAAGAGTGGACCTGTGTTCAACGTCTGCTCTCAATCCTTGGTGTATGTATTTTTATCTTACAACTCGAGTCGCGGCTCACGTTGAAACTACAGTTTGCCGAGTTGTCGCAGCAGTCCTTCTCATCTGAACAAGGACCAATGCTTCACTTAGCATTGCCTGCATTGGAGTCGTTGCATAGCGCATGGTCTTCACGTTCTGGACGTATCAAGTATCTCGATTTTGCGGAGGGCCTCGATGCTGGTATTGAGAAGATTACGAAGTATTACGAGAAGTCGAGTAGTTCTGACGCCCATATTATGGCGATGCGTGCGTCGTTCTTTCATGTACATAGTATTACTCCCACTGACTTTCCAACGACAGTTCTTGATCCGTCACAAAAGGAGACCCATCTTCGCAAGTATTGGGGCGAGGAATTGCTTGTCGAAGCACACAGACATGCAGAGGAGATGGTAAGTAAAGCTCTCGTCACAACACACTCACTAATGGTACATCTAGTACAAAGAACGGTATCTCGAAATGTACAGCAACGATCCCGACTCTAGGAATGGTGTCGAAGTCAAGGTCAGGAAGACAGGGAATCGCAAACTCGATGCTCTGCTGCAAGAGCTCTCTGATGGCGAGGATGACAGTGACTCGATGCTGCAGCCCACCCTAATCTCTCGCGCGAGTTCCACAAATTCTGTCACTCCCTCCGAAGCTGCGAATGAGCCGTGGCGGCATGACTTTCACGCTTACCTCAACTCCAAGGACCACCTTGGAGATATGACTATTGTGCAGTGGTGGGGCATCAACGCACCTCGATACCCAGTCTGGGCGTCACTCGCGCGTGACTTCCTTTCCATTATGGCCACGTCCGTGTCCAGTGAACGTGCATTCTCATCTGCTGGTATTACTATCTCCAAGCGCCGAAATCGTCTCAAACACGACATTGTCGAAGCACTGCAGTGCTTGAAATGCATGATCAAACATGATCTCCTGTTTCGCAAGGACCCATCTGTTGCAACCGAGTTCGTAGATGATGCATTGTCCGAAGATAAGACTCCTGCTGCTCTCAACGAAGATGATGGGTGGGATGATGTTGCTGAGGATTTATGTGAGAATGAGGAGCTGTTAGAATCAGATGACGAAGATGTTTCTATTCAAATGTTAGATGAAATTTGATTTACTTGCTACGTTTTTTGTATCACAAGGCCCTAGGCCCAAGCCGAGCCAAGCCCCAGCCGAGCCTGAGCCCTACCATAGGGCCTGGCCTTGGTTTGAAGCAAGCCCCAGCCCTCCAAGGCCGAGCCGTGGCCCCGGCTTTTGAGCCGAGCCGGGCCTTGAACATCACTACTTCTTTCACTCTAATGCCAAAAAGCACTGTACCTTCCATGGTAGGCCGTGAAAGGGTCCCTAGAGATAGTGATGATTTGCCTTGTTGGGATCAAGTGCCTGTTGGGGGTACTTTACATATTTCTTTGTTTCATAATACCTTTTCTAATTGGTGCTATTCTAGTCTTCAGACCTTTACCCTCTCGCTGAAGCTCTCTCCCTTGGTAGACGAGGGCCATTTGTGACCTAGTACTGTATGCTGCTTGGCCCACCCGCCCACACACAGCTCATGCTTTCTTTTGTTAGGTCCCAGTGGTCCTTGTCAGCCTAACCCCTGCGGGTTTCACCCAAATAGACTTATACGTGTTTCGTCGTAGCCGTTACAGAACTTGCTTTGGTTTTATTTGTGTCGCGCTTTGAGTAAAAATGCATAGATGAGACTTCACTGAGGTACTTATAGGCCTACATGTTACAGAACGTAGATGGCCAAACAAAATATTCATGCATTTACTTCAGCTCGGAGTCCAAGTAGCCAGTAGAAATTACGATTCAAGCAGCCCCCTGAAACTTGTCAGTATGCGACTCGACAGATTGTGAACGCCGCATCTACGGTAATTTCGAATTTGGTGATCTACTAGGATATCATGAATGTGAGAGACAAAATACAACTCGGGAAATTAGATTGGGGTACAAGAAACCTTGTGAAAGGTTGTTGTCGGGTACTTCAATTATACGACGTATCACTTCGCAGAGAGCTCTACAGCATTTTTGAACGCTCCAAGTAGAGCAGATAATTGCATCTTCTCACTCCCGCCGGTCGATAATCTATGCCTAATGAGAAAGATATCAATCATTTATCACGAAACTGGACGTAGGCGAGACATACTCGGTAGTAGCTAGGAAGTCAAGTAAATATACTCGGGCCTGTGGCTTGAATTCAATCGTTTCCACGTATTCGTATGTACCCGATATCAAGTCTTGCAGTGCAAGTCCACGTTCTGTTTTCATGGCCGAGATCACTGACAGAGGTTTTGTGAGGCACCAACAACAGAATGCGAAAGAGCTTACTTTGGTAAGAAGTGGTGAATTCATCGGAAAGCATGGAGTTTACGATGGTTTCAATATCTGACGGGTGAGGGTTTCCAGTGCAGTTATAAATTTCAGTCTCTCCGACAGAGCTATATGCTGCGTGACATGCTTGTAGGACATTAAGGGCTCGCCGCATGTCTCCTTTCGACAGCTTTAAGAGGGCCTTTTTGCCGTCCTGAGTCAGATTTACCCTGTTACAAAGTTGGGTGTTTAGTAACAACTTTATAAATCACTCTACATACTTCTCAGCTACCACGACGGCATTCACGCGCTTCTCCACCTCTGCAATGGGCAGTGGCGAAAAACGGAATCTCGTACACCGACTCTGAATTGCTGGAGCGATCTTGTTCACGTAATTGCAGATAATGCAAAACCGCACATTCTTGGTGTATTGTTCAATGACACGACGTAGTGCAGCTTGAGCTTGCTGTGTCATCATGTCGGCTTCATCGAGGATGATGAGCTTGAAGCCTTTCGAAAATAATGTTCGGGTCTCGGCGAATTGCTTTATCTGTTCGCGCACTACATCTATACCTCTGTCGTCCGATGCATTGAGCTGAACGAGATTAACATTGCGCTGTGCGGATCCAGAGGGGCTTCACCTCCAATATCTGTTTCTTGTATTCTGCTCCATAAATTCGTCTCGCCACTGCAAGAATTGTGGACGTCTTCCCAGTCCCAGGTGGGCCGTAGAATAGAAGATGAGGCAAGCGGTTCTTCTCAATGAATTTCACAACTGAGTGAAGCTCAGTGTATGCATTGCTCGGGCCAGGCGGAACTCAACTTGTCGTTGTGATATCCTTGTGTGAAACCACATCGTCCAGTGTGACTGGTCGATACTTCTCTACCCTATCGCGTATTGAGCAAAGACGCCGAGGGGGAAAGATGAAGGACGCAACCAAGGCAAATTCTCATCCTCATGCAGCTCATATCTCCCTACAGCCTTTCCTTTACCCTTGTCAAGTAACGGCGTAGAGTCAACATCCATTTGGCTGTCACCCGTCATGACGCGTCACAAAGTAATGAAAATTATGAATTCGATGTAGCTGGCTGGCGCGTTGAGCGCGACGCGTCGAAAGCAGTAAGTTGATTAGTCAGTCGAGAGTATTCTCACGCACAGACCATCATCAGGTTGATTAAGGTTTTCAGGGATTAATCATCTTTGCCGCATCTTACAATTGCAACCACCACGACTGCGGCTCTTGCTTTCGTCAACGACTCCATCGATCATTCGTTGGACAGACAGAAGCGTCCGGCAAAATGCAGATCTTTGTAAAGACGTGCGTGCAGTTCGGGACTAGTTTCTGTAGCTTCACCTGACATTGATATCAGCCTCACGGGCAAAACTATCACTCTTGAAGTCGAGTCTTCAGACACCATCGACAATGTCAAGGCCAAGATCCAGGACAAGGAGGGGTAAGGTTTTCTATGGCACATACGTATCATCAATACTCATCACTGTCTTAGTATTCCCCCCGACCAGCAGCGTCTGATCTTCGCTGGAAAGCAGCTCGAGGATGGCCGTACTCTCAGCGACTACAACATCCAAAAGGAGTCCACTCTTCACTTGGTTCTTCGCCTCCGTGGTGGTGCCAAGAAGCGCAAGAAGAAGACATACAACGTGAGTAGCATCGAACATCCCTATTAAAATTTTATGCTCATCATCCTACTTTAACAGACCCCTAAAAAAATCAAGCACAAGCGCAAGAAGGTTAAGATGTCGATCTTGAAATACTACAAGGTGGACTCGGACGGGAAGATCAAGCGTCTTCGCCGCGAGTGCCCCAACGCTGAGTGCGGTGCTGGTGTCTTCGTAAGTGTTAACTCGAGTTTAACCTGCCACGTGGGGCTGATGATCCATCTCAGATGGCTTTCCACAAAGACCGTCAATACTGTGGCAAGTGCCATATGACCTACACCTTCCAACCTGGTGCAAAGCCTCCTGCTGTGTAGAGTAGCCGACAATTGTGTCATGTAAACTGGTCGTGTAATGAGCATGTCATGAATCGTTCTACGGATTGATGCTTTTACCACATAAACGAGTTGATTGACCGACTTTGTGAGGTTGTTGTTGATGCCTGAGGTCTGGCACTTCAGTCTGTAAGTGTTACGAACTTGTTTTCTGTCTAAGGCCATTGAATGTTGCCCTTGACCCCGTAGCCTCATCCAGTACTTTAGTACCTTACGATAACGCGACAGAATGTTTTACATCGTACCAATGAGTCGAAGGGGAGCAAGTAGGTGATGAACTTCATCTGCGGGAAAGGTGCAGGCAATGGTATCATTTTAATGTCTTAGTTGAATTTCAGTAGTCAAGTTCATGTGGTGTGGGATTACTACGGCACGAACGAATGATTCAGTGTCGTTGAGGTTGGACAATAACATTGACTACCCATTAGCCAGACGTATCATAATTGAAACTTGTGCAGTTATGCGAAACGTCGCACTAGAACAAATGTAAATATACATGAGGTACTAGTACGGATGGGCACTTTGGACAGCGATGCATATGCATTGTCCACTGGTTACCTTGTAAATCATTCATCCCTATCTTGTATTTCATCTGGCAATTGTGACCCTAGCCACCTCAATATACCAGCCAGCAAAATCAAGACAACATAGACTGCATTCCCGTTGAGAATATTGTGTTCCTTTGAGAGTGCAAAAAGCGAAGTTGCAAATGCAGGCCCAATGACACGAGCCATGGACGCGGAGGTTTGACCAAGACCATTGATGGTGCCAAGGACGTTCTTTGTGGGGGCAGAGGCCGTGATAAACATGAATACAGTCCCTATAATTATGTGTGTTTTACTTTCAATGATATGATGGGGTTTCATCGTGACACGTACCGAATGCCATATCCCATATAATGGTCAACGCTAGTTGGCTAACCAATGTAAATACGATTGCATGATCAACCATCCCCCTTGTGTGTACAAGCCACGACATGATCGGGAACATGAGCACGACTGGTGTGAAGCACGACACGGACACACAGAAGAGACGCTTTGGACCAACCCAGTCGACAATTTTGGCGAAGAACAGTGCCTGGAAGATACCATCCGATATTGCAAACATCGCCATCCACATGCCAATACGAGAAGGAGTAAAACCAAGGCCGCCAAGATAGGTTGGCGTAGAAAAGAACAGCGGCAAAAGAGCCATAAGAGCAATATCAAGCAAGGCGAGCATGGCGTAGTTTGCAATTGGAATGACAATAGTGGGTGTGAGCAGAGATTGCAGGGGCATGTTAGATGTTTGTGAAAGATCTTCTCGATTATTACTGTCGACACCGTTTGAATTACCTAGAGTGGTTGCTGTCAACTTTGGTCGACGCTTGGTTGATAATGTCTGCCGATCATAAGCAATGTTTTGCGATGACACAGGTGGTCAAACTTACTTCTTCCAAGAAAAATAACAAAACGAAAAAGCCAACTATGATTCCACTAGCAGACACTACACAGGGTAGAAAATATGGGTATTTGCTCCAAAATGGATTGGCGAATAATCCGGGCCAGCTGTCTTGTGGACGCGCGAGCGTTCCGCCTATTAAAGGACTGATGTGCGAATTTAATTGTAGCCATTCAGATGGTGGATAGTTGCACTTACCCAATAAAGCCTCCAATGCACCACATTATTGGAATCAAGGCAAATCCCTGAGCCATATTCGTAGAGTCTGTCAATTCGCCCACCATAGTCTTCATCACTGAAACATTGCCGTTCAGTACACCGCACATACAGCGGCTAGAAAATATCGTAAGAATTGTATTTCGTATCTTCAACTGAAGTCATACCTAACGACAAGGCCCCAGAACGTCGTCGAGAGACCGAAACATAGTATTGAAATACAAGTTCCTGATAGCCCTACTAATAACACTGGCTTGCGTCCAATACGGTCAGATAACCGACTCCATCTCAGCATTGTCAGTGTCTGTGCGACGAAGAACAGAGATTCCTGTCGATTATATCCGATTAGTAGTATGAGGAAATCATGATTCTCGCAACTGATAGTAATCTCGGTACCTACAATTATTCCAGCATAATATCCCACAGCCGCATCGTCACCGCCAGTGATGCCAAGTTCTCTGATAAGCTGAAAATAAACATATGAAGAATGAATGTAAAACAATCTGGTGACCCATCTCATTGTCAAATCATCATACCTGATTGATGTATGGAAATATGGACATCGAAGCGATAGGTTCGACAAGTTGCAATACCATAAGTATGCCCATCTGGAGTTTTGGAAGTGGTGTTTTAGGCTTTTTCGTCCTTGCTACTACGACCAGAGTCGTGGTTTCGCTTATCATACGAGGAGGATTTGAGGTGTCCATTCTGCTAATCAGCCTTGGGAGTCCAAAGAGAAGTATGATAAGATGAAGCGAACCGGGACTTTATTTATATGGTCTTGTGAATGAGTCATCCTGGATTTTTGACATTAATATCAATATCACTCCAGGCTCCCTCGGAATCACTGTCATGATGGATAATTTCAGAAATGACTCTAAGCCTAAGATGGAAACGTGTCTAATTATAGTTTTTGTGTTTGGCAAGAGCGTTAGAAACAAACAACCTTGGCCTTACCCACAAGCTTTGTCTCCGTCTCGCTTCCGCTATGATTGAAAAGTTGTTCCTTACTTTGGCTACGCTCGCGCTTCTTCACGGTATGAACATCCTTTCTGATATCTCACACCACTCAAGTTGCTCCATAGCTGCATACTCCACGTACGAACGTGAGCATCATAATAAAGCTTAGAGCCCGAGGCAGCCAGGATTTGAGTTTAAAGCTAAATTTACTTGCAGATTTGTCACTTTTGAAGGCTTTGGGAAAGCCAGAAGGATCATTACCTCTAAATGTAAGTAAACTCATCACGTCAAGTACAACATAAATAACAGTATGCTCGGAGTAGATCGTGTATGAGAGCATTCTTGCGCTCATTCTTGGGCTGCTTGGAGCATCCTTGAATGCTCCACCATTAAAAGATATCACTTGGGCAAGTGAAATGAAGAAGCGGTGGGTGATGTTTCGAATGTTGATCTACTCGCTGAAACAGTGTCCTGTTTTTAGGACAATTGACGGAATGGATTCACGACTGGGATTCGCACACTACAAGTCTCGCGGAAAGTTTTTGTTTGCGAGTCCACACGATGGTAAAATATGAAGTGTTGCCGATCAATTGTTCATCATATGCATGCCAAATGTTGCGCGGGTATATAACATAACACTGCACGACGTTGTAACTAGCCTCAGTCGTCATCATCCCCGCCAGATTTCTTCTTGGTTTTTCGTTTTTCTTTTCGGGCTTTCCTTTGATCCTCCTTTTCGGCAGCAGCATCCATCGCAAGAAAATCGCGGATCGAGGGTAATGCGGATGACTCTAATGGTTTGAGACGCAAGGGTTCCTCTTCCTCTTCATCCACTTGAGGTATATGGTTTGATGAAGGCAACTGAGGTGTAGCGCTCTCGGTGGATGCTAGTGGTTGTATTGATCCTTCGTCATTGTGTTCATCTCCAAACCATCCTTTAGAATGAGCGGGTTCGGATGAAGGATGTAAATCATTGATATGATGCTTCGATTCGGTGTTGTCGGCATCTACTAAGTCATCTTCATCACTGTCATCGTCCCCAGGAAAGCCTTCATAGTCACCAGCCCCCGCAAAGATATCTACATCGTCGTCGAGTGGAGATGGAGGCCTTTGTGAGAATGCTTCGGCAACAGAAAGTGGTGCTACCGCTGGAAGCTTAGCTTCTGGGTGAGGAATGGTGTTGGACGGCTGAGGTGAACCCAAAATTCCCTCCACTTTCCTTTTCTTCCTCTTCTTGTCACGGCTTGCGCTCTCTTCCTTGCTGCGCTTTTTGGTAACCTTGTCCTCTTTCTGCACTCCTATTGGCTTGAAACCAATTGGTTTGAATTTCCCTGCCTTCTTTGCCTTCTCAAGGTTACGGGCCTCATCTTCGATCGGCTCCGCGGTGGTGTCGAAGGATTGCAAGCCCTCGCCGTTCCTTTTGGCCTTCAGCTCACTGATGATTTCTTCGCGAGTCCTCTTCTTATGTGCCGTGGGTTTCGAGGAGGCTTCGATGAAAGCTTGTTCAAGGGTATCATCATCTTCGGTAGAAGCAGCTGCCCGAGCTTTGTTCTGCTCTAGCAGGGATATATCTAGGCCCTTCACTAGAATTGTATGTTCTCTGTCTCCGCCCAGATACTGGCGCTGCTCGTCGACCTAGGGAATGTCAGTAGAAACATGAAAATACATGGGATAGCACACACAGTATTTTTATCATCATTTGCAGTCCGCTGTTCGAAAACTTCGAGAACAGCTTCAACCTGCACTCATTATTAGTGTCCTAAGCACAGGACAAGGACAGATGTACCTGAGCATAGTCACTTTTCCCGCCATCACGTCTCTCCGCGGCCCTATCACGGTATCTAGATTCAGCCTTCTTCACTTTGCGTGGCTTGAATGTTGGCGTAGATGATCCCGAAGCTTTCCTGTCAATTTATTTATTAAATGCATTTAAACTCGAGATATTGGACATGCTGCTTGAATAAATCGGATGCTCCCCGAGCTCCTTTGAGTTGCGAAGTCGCACCGGGCACTCGAGGTGCCTGAAGAAGTTGCCTGAAAGAATCCTGTGTCAAGTATCAGAGATATGAGAGCTCGATAGGCCATCCATTTACAAACCTGATCCATAGCAAGAAGGAAGGCGTTTTAACTATTTCTTTCGAGGAGGCGTTGTTTGCACATGTTAGAATCAGAGGCCCGGTATGTGGTTGTTGCCGTGGCCGTCGGTATTGATGTCAGAAGCGCTTACTAATTACTAATCAGCATCCCTTGTTAATTTTTAAAATATCAGCAACTCGTGAGTACTTATCGCTCATTGTCGACCGTCTCTAAACTTCTTTTTTTTCTGTTCGGAAGGGGAGTCAGGACAGGTGCCACTGCCGGGTACCATTCCGGCTCGAATTTTTGAGGGTCCTGAATATTTCAACAATTTAGAAGGAACCCAGGCCCGAGTCGCTCCAGACGCTGAGTAGACCCGCCTTGGACTTAAACACCGTGTCCGTTTCTGTATCGAAGGCTTGGAAAGCAACCTGGATTTGCCGCTTTTATCGATTTAATCATTTGGCATGTTGTCGTTTGCTGTGGGACACTTGGCACTTCCTGATCTGATTTAGATTAAAGCGGAGGTGGGCATCTAGATTCCGAATGCTCATCCTGGGTCTCCGCGTGTTTCGTCCCACAACTCGCATTTATAAGCTCTTCAGCTTTGCTTCACGTTCAACTCATACCAGAACCATGGCCACTCCCTGGACACCTAACCAATATCCACAAGCTCGTCGGTCCGAGCATGTCGATATCTACAAGAGCGAGAAACAGGGCGAAGTTCGCGTTTCTGATCCATATCAATGGCTCGAGCAACAGTCACAGGAGACTGATCAGTGGACCACGGCGCAAGACCAATTTACTAGATCTCACTTAGATAAAAATCCTGTTCGAACTAAGCTAGAGCAGGAGATCAGGGCAAATACTGACTATGCTAAGGTCGGTCATCATAACAGTTAGTTATTTTTTTATTATTCTCACTTCTTTCAAGTTTTCTGCGCCATCGCTCAAGTATGATGGTCGTTGGTACTGGTACTACAATAGCGGTCTTCAGCCTCAGTCAGGTAGGTTGAGACACCATGAACATGTTGGATGCCAAATATCTAGTTTCACAGTGATTTGCCGTTCTAAAGACGCTAATCTCCCTGATGGATCGGGGGAGAAGGGGCCAGGCGGAGAAGTCTACTTTGATGTAAGTTGAAATGCCCGTCTACTTTGAGCGGATTTGGGTAATGACACATGACTACATAGCCCAATTTGTTGTCCACTGACGGCACTGTGGCCCTCTCTGTAACGGCATTCTCTCGCTGTGGCGAATACTTCGCCTATGGCATCTCGTTGTCGGTCCGTGACTATACTATGTCATTCGGAACAGGACGTTAATCTCCAGTTCATTCCAGGGAAGCGATTTTTATACAGTTTATGTGCGACGTACAAGCGAACCTTTCACTGCGATTGATGGGCAACCTAACGATCACCATACAAAAAGGCTTGCAGAGGAGATTCGTTTCGTGAAATTTTCGTCCATCACTTGGACTCATGATTCTAAAGGTTTTTTCTACCAGGTAGGTCCTGAGCAATTGATATCTTGTACCTGACCACGAAGGTACTCTCCCCAGCGGTTTCCAAGCAGAGAGTCTCATGGTCTTGCAACGGAGGACAAAGCTGGCACAGAAACCACAGACGATAAGGATGCTATGCTCTACTATCACAGGATCGGAACTCCACAATGTTCGAGCTATCTACATTTGGTTGTATTGCTACTCTCTTGACTAATTCAAGCATTCAGCGCAAGATATCCTAGTCATCAAAGATGCCGAGCACCCCGAATGGATGTGGGGTGCTTCGGTTTCGGAGGTAGATGGGAGATATCTGTTTCTTGATATCGTTCAAGACACTGGAAAGGTTTGCGCTCATCCATTGTCCTACGTCGCCGATTTACTTGATTATTTTGGGCCTAGAAAAACATGCTGTGGGTGGCCGATTTGCAAGAAAATGAAATTGGCCAAAACATGAAATGGGACAAGATTGTAAACGAGTTCGAATCGGAATACACGGTGTCAGTGGTGTCATCAATCTCTGATGGAAACCACTTGACCTGCTGACACCCCATGCCATTCTCCCATCAGCATCGCGAATGACGGAACTAAACTATACTTACGGACAAATGAGAACGCGCCTCAATGTCAAGTTATCACGATCGACCTCGCAGACCCATCGCGCCAGCACAAGGTTTTAATACCGGAAGTCAAAGATGCATACTTGGACGACATTACTGCCGTGGGAGGTGATAGACTGGCCGTTGTATACAAGCGCAATGTAAGTGGAGTTGCTTCACGCACTCCATATTGCGGAAGCTCACGTCATGGAGGACTGCAGGTCATCGATGAATTATATCTCTACTCGATGGAGGGCAAACAACTTACTCGGCTTGCTCCAGAATTCGTTGGTGCTACAGAAGTCAATGGCCGCCGAGCACAGTCGCACTTCTTCGTGTTCCTGACTGGGTTCACCAACCCTGGGATTGTAGCACGATACGATTTCGATGAACCAGGTGAAGACAAACGTTGGAGCATATACCGGTCAACAATAATGGAGAGGCTGGTACCGGATGAGTTCAGCGCTGAGCAAGTCTGGTATGAGAGCAAGGATGGTACGAAGGTGCCGATGTTCATCGTGAAGCATAAGTCAACAAAGTCCGATGGAACCGCACCTGCTATTCAATACGGTAAGATGACATCGTCCGTTTTAATCAATATTTGACACTACGAATCAGGTTATGGTGGATTTAGTATATCACTCAGCCCCTCATTTAGTCCTACCATCCTGACTTTCATCAAGGCATATGGCGCTGTATATGCTTTACCCAATATTCGCGGAGGAGGCGAGTTTGGTGAAGAATGGCATCTTGCTGGCACAAAAGAACGGAAGGTGCAAAACTTCATTAGTGCTAAAGACCATATCTAATGGTTGCCGCAGATTAACGTCTTTAACGACTTTATTGCTGCTACGTGAGTGGAGTTCTCTCGCCATCGCAATCTGACAACTCACACGTGCAGTGAGTATCTTGTTAGAAACAAGATTGCTGCGCCCGGTAAGGTCGCCATCAACGGTGGATCCAATGGAGGCAGGTCACTCCACCCGCCTATTTGTAGTGATTCTTAACCATGATGTTAGGATTGCTCGTGGCCGCTTGCGTGAACATCGCCCCAGAGGGCACATTCGGGGCAGGTGTGGCCGAAGTTGGTGTGCTTGACCTCCTGAAGGTGAGCGTTATGTTTTTGGTAGTGTCTATTCCTGCTCAGCCATGACACTTATAGTTCGCCGACTTCACGATCGGTAAGAACACATTATATCGCAGAGTTTGATGTCGATCTAATGTTTTGGTCTGTAGGCAAAGCGTGGACATCTGACTACGGAAATCCACACGACCCACATGACTTTGATTTTATTTATCCCATTTCACCGCTCCATAATGTCACAACGGACAAGACCCTACCCCCGCTGTTGCTCATGACTGCTGATCGTGTGTTGTTTGGTCTCAATTTTTGAATTGTAGCTGATCAAACTATGTCAGATGATGATCGAGTCGTCCCCCTTCACTCGTTCAAACATGCCGCGACGTTGCAACACACACTTGCCCATAATCCTCACCCCCTCCTTATTCGCATTGACAAAAAAGCAGGACATGGCGCAGGTAAGGCTACTGAGAAGAGGTACGTGCCTGTTCTTCTCGGACGTCAAAAACATGTGACATATTGGCTTTACAGGATCCAAGATGCGGCAGACAAGTGGGGTTTCGTGGCCCAATCTCTCGGGCTAGAATGGCAAGATTGATCATGTTCAGCAAGGACATGAGCGATCGCGTAATACACGGCGATACGCTCGTAAATAACTCCTTATTCATTACAATATTCCTGCCTTGCATCACTAGCCAGCACTTCCGCAAGTGCTAGGCCCTCCACGCATACAGTGTGGGCCGCCGAAGTGTAGGCCAATGAGTGAGCGACCCCTGCGGAGGTCAGATAAGTCCAGAGCATTGTGGTTATGGACTCACCTTAGCAGGGTCATGAAAGGACGGTTGAGATGGTGATTCCCGAATATTGGTGCTGGGAACTACATGGAACTGAGGCACTCTGCTCGTAACGCGATCAACCATGCAAGGCAAGGTTGAGCAACGGGACCGCATCGAGATCAAGTATACACATACCAAGGATGAAGGCAGCGCGACCAGCAAACACGTTCAGCAACGAGTACATAGCGTCACACACAATTCGCGAACATCAGGGAAACGTAATTCACTACAGAATGCTACAGAGCACTCTGAGCACAATCCAACCCGCTGATGAAGGTCAGGCAATTGGCGTTGTTTGGAATCATACAAAGACAGAGACTCGACATAATGATCGGCATGATATTTTTATGAAACCAAGCGTGATTGTTGAGCATTCTCTTCTCTTGATCTCGGCTACCATCACGAGGATTCAGATGGAAGAGGCACAGATTAATGAGCACTGGCCGGTAAGTTGAGTCGAAGCGGGCAGCTTGAGATCCTGCTGACATTGAATGGTTCTAGCATTATGAAGGATCCGTGCGAGGGCTCCTCTACGCGACCAGCGCCCGGAATCTCGTTGTGGTCTCCGTGCCGTTCAGGGACAGAATCAAAAAAGTCTGGTAATACCTCACACTTATAGGTGATGCACTGGGTGAGTCAGCTGGGACCAGACCTCTTCATCTCATCTATTGGACAATTTCGTAAAACTTATAATCTGATTGCGGAAATGCCGGCGAGGGCACCTGCGCTCGGATACACATTCTTTCGGGAGCATCTTGCTGTGTTCGCTGCGTCCAATAGGTTAATTCGGGGAATAGCAGGCATTACGGCAAACGCAGACGACGTTACCGGCAACGTCTTGGTGGTGAAACATTGCCAGAGCAAAAAAAACGAGGTCATGGACTGCGACGACGGGAACATTCCATGGGTCAATGATATCATGAAACAGTGGGCACTTTGTCGCACGGCGGATTTAACAACTGACATTGCTCAGGTCCGTGAGCTGGGGTTGATTCTGGGGTTGAATGGGCGGAAATTACATCGGGTTTATTGAAGGAGTAGTGTTCGTATAGAATTGACATTGAGACGGAGAATGTGTGTGATCGACTACGGAAATATGCGAGCCAAAGGGAGTCGGGGACGTGCCGCGGC